ATTTTTATGTGGTGCTGAGGACTGAACCCAGTGCCTCGTATGTGCTATGCAAGTGCTCTACCACTGAGCCCCAGCCCCAGCCCCCATGGGTGCTTTTTAAACCAGCCAGTGAGCCAGGGAAACTTCAGTGGGATTCAAGGCTATTGGCAGAGGCTGCCCAGGCTGAGCAGGTGTGGGTGGGTGGACCTCAGTTGTAGCTCTTCATTGTTTAGCTGCTTGACCTTCCTTTCTTCATTTCTTATTCAGGAGGTCACCCTTCCTCAGTAGTAGTGTGTGGGAAATGTTTTGTTTTGTTTTGTTTTAATGGTACTAAGGAATCAAACCTAGGGCCTTGAGAATGTACTAGGCAAGTGCTCTCTCTACTGGTGAGCTGTATCTCCAGCCCCTCACTCACCCACCCACCCCCTTTTTTTTTGGTACTGGAGTTTAAACCCAGGGGCACTTAACCACTGAGCCACATCCGCAGCCCTTTTTAGTTTTTAATTTGAGACAGGGTCTCACCAGGTTGCTGAGGCTGGCTTTGAACTTGTGATCCTCCTGCCTCATCCTCCCTAGCTGCTGGGATTACAGGCATGCACCACCATGCCTGGGCCACCACCCCTCCATTTTTTAAAAAGTGAGCCAGGAGCCCCCTGTTGCTTTCCAGGATCCCAGTGATGTAGTCTCACAATAGTATTTGAGCCCAACAGATGTCTTCTCATACCCACTGGCAAGTCTTCTTTGTCACCACTGTCTGCCCGAATCTCCTGCAGGTAAAGCCCTTAGGGTTGGACATATTGTGCGTCTGTGTGTTTATTTACACACACATGGTGCAGACTCTTAGAACTGAGCTGAAACAAACCCCAGCAAATGGGCTCCATCGCCAGCCGTCGGTGGGTCCCTGGGGATCCCGTGCTGCAGCGCGCTAACCACAGCCCAAGTTAACGTTTTCTTTCATTTTTTGAAAACCACACTCTGGAGCTGACAGAGGAAGGCAGGGAGGCATCATGAGCACAGAGTAAAGAAAAGAGGATAAAGTAAAGCAAAGCCTGGGCCCCCCAGCTCCCCATTGGGAGAGCCCTGTGATAGAGGCGGAGCGTCGGGGAATCCAGGCTTTGCGTGGGAGAAAAATTTCCTGGCTGGCGAGGAGAGCAAGAACTCTGAGAGGAGGCAGCGCCAGTATTGAGTGTACCACTGGGATTTGTGCCTTGGTGAATTCTTCATATATTACAGTGAATTTAATTAAATACATTGTGATCCCAATTGAGGGTATTCTAATTAGCTGGGTCAGGAACAAATTATTCTCCCTCCTTCTCCAAATGAAAACATCTCTGCTCTTCTACAGGGAAAGCATGTCCTTGGCTGGCTGACTTGCCCCATGGAGTTCCCTTCTACCTCCCGAGCCCTACCTTCTGCTGCTGGTTCATGTTATGCAGGTTCTGAGGGTGGCATTCTGAAGCCAGTGCCACTCAGGAGGGAGGAGGAGCTGGCCCATAGCATCAAGGACTGGAAAATCACTGGGTGGTGGGGAGAAGAGCCCAGAGGTGAGGGCCCTGCCGCTGGCCCTGGGTCCATTTCCTCCGGGTTGGACAGCCTGAGAAGTAGCAAGAAACGAGAACAGGACTTATCACACGAATCATCAGTAGACCCAGGTTCTAAATAGAAGTTTGAGGTGGGATGTGACTATATTCAGCAGATGTCTTTTAGCAAACCAGACATAGTTGATCCTGAGTTTTTATTTTATTTTATTTTATTTAGCATCTTGGAGAATGAATTTGGAGTAAAAAAGCAAGTTTGGAAGTTTGAATTAAACTTTTATATCAGTTACTAAGACAAGACCCTAAATGTTCCCTATGCCCATTATCAGTGAAAAGACTGTGGCCCTGGTTTCCTCATTTCCTTTTATTCTTTTCTTCATGATTGTGGGGTATGGCTATTTCCTTTCTGAAATGATCCTCAAATTACAGACAAAGGAATTTGTGGTGGTATAAGAGATTGCCGTTGAGCAGCATGAGCTCCAGGATAGAATGGTTTCGAAATACCTTCATCATCATTTTTTTTTAAAGAAAGCGTTATCAGTACGATGTTTATTTCAATTGAAGATTTATACAGCTTTATCACGCAGGAGCCCTTGGATTTGAGGACAAAAGACATTTGACATCTCAGTTCCCATCCAGCTCTCTTTGGCCATGATATCCCTGTCTTCTGGCTCAGAGACTGGAAACCCCAGCCATTTGGAGTCGAATCCTCACATACATATTAAAATTTTATGTTTAAAATTCAGTGCCTTATTGTGAGGAAATCCTGTTTCACGGGGAGGTAATATGGGTTTGGAAGATGAGGCTTTCGTGATTCTTGCTCTGATTTCATAGCTCATGATACTACTCAAATCCCTTGATGAAATGTATTGCTTTGGACTGTGGTCATTCTCCCTGTTAGCTTGGATTCACTCAGTTTTAGCTGAAGCTTTAACAAGCAGAATTCCTGGGGTCTCAGTGACCCACGACATTAGTTCCTGGTTCTTGCACATGTTAACCGCTCCCAGTTCCAGGTCATGTGGTTGCTCCCAGGACTATCCCACCGGGCTTTTGCCTTTTGAGGGGCCTGTGAAGAAGTGGGGGAGAATGAACATGGGCAGGCTCACCTTTTCCTTCACCTCTACCCCATCAGACCGTCCTTCTCCCCAGGAGAGTGGCCACCAGAACACATGGCCTTGGGGCTTCCCTCCTTCCAAAGTCCTGTGCAAGGAGACCTGTCTGTGGAGAGGCATGACGAAGATAAACCACTTAAAAATCAGCTCCCATTTATTTTTAGAAAGTAAGCTTTTGGTTGTCATTTGTAAATTTTTTAGCGTGTGAAATTATTCTAGGGCAGCTGTTACGGGTAGGGATTTTATTTTGTTCCAAGCTCCACATTTAAGTGTGTTGAGTCACCCATTTTGGGTGGTGGGGGTGATCATTCTCCTTTAGTGCCTGAGAAGCCCTTTGCATCCAGACCTCCAGCTTGGCAGAATTTATTGTGGGATGTTTTGGTGGGCTCCCATGCTTGAGGGCCTCAAGTCCCCTCTAGTGAGTTTGCTGTCCCACCTGGTTGGTGCGTTTATATTTCGTCCTCTAGCAAGGTGCATGTGTGCTTCTGGGTTTTTCACACTTTGTCAGTGGACATAGACTATTGCATTGAGTGTGTGGGCCTTGGGCAGCGTCCTTAGATGGGATGCCCTCGTAGAGCCATTCTGGTATTTTTGGCCTCATGTGGACACACAGGACATTTCAACCACTGCAGCTTCTCGGTGTCTTGCATTATAAGCGGTACAAGGAAAGGATCCCAGCAGGATCTGAAACTGTTATCAAGGCATGGACATGGGACAGAAGCACTGTGGTCAGAAGATGAGCAACGCAAAGCCATTCCAAGGCATTTGTCGTGCACCTGGCGAGACCTGGGTGACAGGGTGGAGATGAGTTGGTGAGGAGAAAAAGGGAAGGTCAGAGTATCAATGCACACATTAAACGCTTGCATTATCATCTAAATTCACTCCTCCAGAAGAAGGCTGAGTGCATGAAGGAGAGTGGGGGGGTGAACCCCAGGTTCTGGTTGTTTCTCTCCCACTACCTGGGTTGGCTTGGGTTAGTTACTTATGCATTTTGAGATTGTTTCCCTGGCTTCATGCATACCCAATAGGAAGACTCCCTCTTCCTTTCACATGAGCCATTTGCAAGGAAGAAGACAGCCTTTGTTCACAGGAGCATGCTGGTTCCCTGTTAGGGAAAAGGGGCCACGGCTTTCATGACTTTCTCCAGAGACTCAAAACCAGGGTGGATTTTATTCTTGGATGATCTTTAAGAGTCCTAGGCACAGAAGTCTGGGGTCTGCTAACTCTTTGCATGATGCCAACTGTACTTGTACCCCAGAGTCATTCCTGTGTGTGCTGTTTCCTGCTGGTCTTTGGGCCTTCATGCTCTGAACTCAGTACTGTGTCTGCTAAACACAACAGAGAATGTAATTGTGACCACTCTGTAAACCCCATGACCAATGACATTGACCAGTGATGAGCCAGATGACCATGAGAGATTGATAGGGAACCACTCTGGAGAAAATATTCTGTCATTCTTTAATCCAGAGGAAATCCTAATTTTGGATCCTCCCAATAGACTGTATTTTAAATACAAACACTTCATTGTCTGTCTTGTGGAAAGGCCAGACAGCAGCTTTGGCACTGTTTTATAGACCTAGGATGTTGTATGCGTATGATGGCCTCCAGTTGTCACCAAAGCAGAGGGTAGCTGGCTTTGTCTGAAAAGGGCCAGATTGTGATGCTTTAAGCTCCATGGGCCTTACCATCTGTGTCATTGTCGTTCACTCTGATGCTTCCAAGGCAGCCACAGGTTGTATATCAATCAATGGATGTGGTTGCGTTTCAATAAAACCTTATATACAAACTCAGGCAGAGGAGGGCTGGGTGGGGATATTACTCAGTGGTAGAGAGCACTTGCCTAGTATGTACAAGGCCCTGGGTTCTGTCCCCAGTACAGAGAGAGAGAGAGAGAGAGAGAGAGAGAAAGAGAGAGAAAAAAACATTTTTAAAGTAATCCGTATAGTTAGGAAGGAAGGAAGGAGGGAAGGAGGGAAGGAGAGGCAGTGGGTTAGATTTGGCTGGTGGACTGTGCCATCTGCCAATCTGGTCTTTAGAGAGTGAAAGGTGCACCAGGGAAAGCCAGGAAAACAAAAAGTTGTACACAAGAAGGTACAAAAAAATTGAGTGACCCTGGGAGGGCCCAGTCGATGAGAGGTGTTAGTAGCACTCTGGAGAGCCATCTGTGAGTGGGCACTGGGGACATGGGAATGCGAGTCGCCTCACTCCTCAGAGGGTGCTAGAGAAGTGGACCCTTTAAGGAACCTTATCATGGATCATCCCATTTGGCTGTTCCAGCCTGTCCCCCAGTGGCACACCTCTGGCTGTGAGCATGGTGGTGGTGGCTTCCAGCAGCTGACCCAGGGCATGCCCCTCTGCTTTGTCCCTGCAGCACCTGCAGCAGCATGAGAGTGGCGTGGAGGGCGAGAGCTGCTACTACCACTGCGTTCTGTGCAACTACTCCACCAAGGCCAAGCTCAACCTCATCCAGCACGTGCGCTCCATGAAGCACCAGCGCAGCGAGAGCCTGCGCAAGCTGCAGCGGCTGCAGAAGGGCCTTCCGGAGGAGGACGAGGACCTGGGGCAGATCTTCACCATCCGCAGGTGCCCCTCCACTGACCCAGGTGAGTCGTCTTGTGGGCACAGGAGGCCAAGGTGGACCTGGGCATTGGCCTCTGAAGGACCGTCTCATGTCTTCTGTTGGGGGATGACATGCCATTGCTGGACTTTCAGGGGACTGAATGTTCTGGAAGGAAGGCACATGGTGCCTTTATTTATTTACTTATTTACTTTTAATAACACTTAGTACTACTTCACTTTGCGGATATGCTTGTGTGTAAGGAAGCTACAAGCCACTACTGGAGAGCAGGCCCAGACCATCTGCCCCTGTCCCCAGGTTCCTCCAGCATGTGCTTTGGATTTCGTTATTGGTCCGACTGACCTAGCAAATGCTAAGCTGCATGCCTTGCTCAGTATTAGGAGTAGGCAGTTTGTGGCCTTGAAGTCTGTTAAAAATGAACTTCAGAGAGGATCAAAACCTGTACTTGTTATAAAAACCCTGATTGTATTTGAGAGTGATTCCCTGTTGTTGCGTGGGTCTGGGCTGTGTGCCGCTTCACCCAGTCGAGACCTTCTGGTGGACACGCTCCTTTCTCCATCTCCTGCCATCTCATCTGTGGTCACCTTTCTTCCTTCTTCCTCTTTGTGACTAAGATTGTTTCCCTGGCTTCATGCACACCCAGTAGGAAAACTCCCTCTTTCTTCATATGAGCCGTTTGCAATGAAGAAGACGCCCTAAATCAACAAAGAAAAAGCCCTCGCTTACTCCTCAGTCCTCACTCTGTCCACGACTGAGTCTTCAGGATTCTTGGAAGAACCATCCGTATCGCTGGTCTCCAGCCCATGCCTTGGCCAACCATCTTCTGTATTTTCCTTTTACCAAACCACCCCGGGAAGGGCACGGTGGCCTTCGATTTGCCCAACCCAGAGGCTGCCTGCTGGTCTTTGTTGGATAAGGTTTCCTGGTCCCTTCTGGAACCTCCTTTCCCTCCAGAACTCATTTCTTTGTCATCCTTCTGCTTCTCTTGACAGTCGTGCATGCCAGTCCCTGGCTCTCGGTCCTCAGCCTGCCCCTTACGTAAGTGTCACTGGGCATCAGGCCCTGGTCCTCAGTCCTCAGCCTCTTGAAGCTTTGACCAGAGGTTGCCAAGTGCCCTCAAACGGCCTCCCAGGTGCCTGGCTGCTGCCACCCTGTGCCCTTCCTTGTCCCTCAGTCTCCTGTAGCACCTTCTCAGCCACTGGGCCATGAAGTTGCATGGGGTTTTAGTTTTAATGCTACCAAATTGTGCATTTTTATAGTTTTTGAAGTTATGTGAAATTTGAAAAATGGTGGGACCCTTCCGTTCCCCAGGGAAATAAATGCCTTTCAGTTGTTGGATGATTCTTTCACCACTTATTTCCATATTGGCCAGTGTGCTACTACTATCGTGTCTTGATTCTTTTAAGATTTTGAATATTATCTTTTGGCTTTCTAGTCTGAACAATGACAGTTTCACTAGTGTGCTGTTCTGTAAACCCTCCCACTCCTACCCAGGACACACATGCTCATCTTCAAGCACACAGACCCCACACGGGACCCCTACACCCCAGCACCCCCCACACCAGTTCACAAACACACAAGACACCACACCCACTCACCAGCCTCATCTTAAACACACTCATCACCCCATAAACAGGGCCCCACACCCCTCCACATTCCACCAGTGCACCCAACAAATACACGGACACTGCACCCCATACTTACACACCCCACAGACCTGCTGACACACTCTCCATGCATACACACACCCCAACAGACACTGTGCCCCACCCGGCCTGTGCCTCCCCCCACCACCAGGGCCTCCCCATTCTCACCAGCCCCCTGCACACTACATCTTCCCCTCTCTCCGTCTTCTGTTATGAAGAAATAATAATTTGGGGTTATATTAATATTCAGTGTTTTCATTATTATAACTCTATAAATATTCATCACAGCTGAGCCATGTAGAGTCTTATAATTTCATTTACCTTCTTGTACAACTTTTTGTTTTCCCTGGCTTTCTGGGTACCTATGATTAATTCATGGCTCACCTTACTCTGCCATATTAGCTGGTTCCTAATCTCCGAGCGCCGTGTGCTGTCGGTTTCTGTGTTAGCCCCATTTCCTCCTGGAGGCGTCCCCTCCAAGCCCCTCCAGAGCTCCCTGCCCACGTCCTATGGGCGTCCTCGGGGCTCCTGGGCTGTGCCTGCTCCAGGGAAATGACACCCCTGTTCCCAGTGACAGGCGGTGCCCCAGTGGAGCTGAGGGTTGTGCACTGTAAAAGGCACATGCTCTTCAGGAAAGAGCTGTCGGGACCACGGTCATCTCTGTCACTGAGTTCACGGTGAGACTGTCCTTTCCCATGTGTTCTCAAGTGGCTTTTCTGGTTCAAGTTTACATTCCACCTCTTCTGCTCCATCGCGGGTCCCCTCCCTCTGTCGTGAGGCCCTGGGGGCCACAATGGCAGTGGGACCCACAGACATTAGTGGTGCCACCTGGCCGTGGGGGACCTTGCTCCTCACCAGGGTAATTTGGTCTCTGTTTGGCTCCGCTTCTCCCCATTATTCTGCTGCTGAGTCATTTCACTGGATTCGAGTTCCTCCTACCAGCGTGTGAAGACCCATTTCATTCAGAATTTGTGGGGTTTTTTCTTTCTCTTTTTTTTTTTTTTTTGGTCAGCACCACATACGTCATTGTTTTAATCTTCCATTAAAAGCTGGTCCCTTTCACCCCTCAATTCTGTCTTTCACTCTGCTCAGAATTCCCTTATTATTAATGAGGTGCCCCAAACTAAATAGTGTACAGCTGCCACTTCACCCGGGTCTGTGACTGGAACAGACAGTCCCCTGTTTTATAACGTAATACTTCTATTTATGCAGTCCCCTCTGGAATTGCTTTCCTGCACCCTGCCTTCTGGGTTTCTCTCATTTAATGCATATTAGGGTTTTTATCCCCCTGAAGTGTATGAGCAACTCCAGTTAAGATGATAGACTTCCTTTCCGCATTTCAAAATCCTTTTGTATTGTCTTTGGCCTCCAGTCATGTTGTTCCACCCGCCCCCTCCCCTCCCTCCCCCTCCCTCCCACACATGCTCCAGTGAAGTTTGCACTCCACTGACGAGGAAGGGGCGAATGATTAGGTAATACTCAAACCTACATTAACAGGAACTTGGTTCTGTTTTAGAAATCCCTGCCTGAGAATGCATCTTGAGACATAACCTCCCTGTCCCCAAGGATTGACTCTTTAAAACTTGAAAGAATATCTTCAAGAAAAGGGACATTTGGGGCCCGGTAGAATTGAGACATTTAAGATCATCAGCCTCCAAATTTGTAAACACAGGCTTTGTAAAGTACTCCCAGTTCCCTGCTCTTTAACAGAAGGATCAGGACGGGATCCTCCCACTAGCAGCATCAGTCACATGCACAAGAAGCCCTTAGAAGCCTCAGAGCCCTGGCAGGGCCCTGCCTGCTCCAACCCCAAGCTGGATGCCAGTGGTCCTGCTGTCTGGAGGCTGTGATGCTGGCACCCCCTCCTCCTCTCATTACATGACCACAGTGCTCCTTCCCCTTTCTGCTTTTACTTTTTCTCCTCTGTTGTCTGCACACCACAAAGTTTTATGCAAAATCCATCAGCAAGCACTTCCTTCTTTTTCCACGCTCTGGACCTCATACCACAGTCTCATGGCCTTTTCTAAAGGTATCAGGGTCTCCCTTGCTAGAGCTGATGGCGCAAACTCTGGAATGGTGTCTTCACTGTGGACAACAAAAATACCTCTTCCAATTCTACCTATTGCCACTGCCTTAACGTGTATTCCTAGTATTCCATGCATCCTGAACTTGCACCAAAGACTGTTCAGATTACTGAACAGTGATTGCTAAGTAATATCAACATAATCTTAATAATGCTTTACATAATGGTAGCACCCCAAATTTTTTTGCAAAAAAAAAAAACTGGCTTAAAATCTGTGATGATTATGCTGTGGAATAACTCACCGGTCTGCCAGCCAGCCAAGTTCACTACCAAGTTCACTACAAAGCCTGCCAGCCCAGATGAACCTGTGGGTCTAGAGGGAAGGAATCCAGGTAGAGGAAACTGTGAAGGTCTCTTCCGACCTTCAGGACTTTCTGGTGATGGCTAAGAATCATATTTGCTACTGCTGATGCTTCATAATCCTTAGAAAGTCTCCTGGCTAGGTAGGTAATGTGCAAGTCCTCCCCTGCACCACAGGGGTCAGCTTTAGCTGCCAGCACCAACCCCCACAGGGCCCTGCTGGTGGAAGGAGCTTCCTCCTTGGGTTCACAGGCAGGCGGAGCCCTGAGCTGGGTTGTCCTTAGCAGAGCATAATGTCTTCTTTCCTCTCTTACTCCACAGGTCACCCACCGGCACACATGCACTTGATTTTCCAGTTTTTAAAAAGAAAAAGTAGCAAAGGCAAGGAGAGCAAGAGAAAACTGGAGGAGGAAGAGAAAGAGGAGAAAGGCCAAGAGAGAAACACACTTTTACATTTAACGTCTCAAGTTAGAAATATTTTTTCCGAGGGCTGGGGCTGTAGCTTAGTAGTAGACCACCTGTCTCGCACGTGAGACAGGTGGGTTTGATCCCAAGCGCCTCAAAAGAAAGAAGTTATTTGGAAATTGACTTGGAAATATATCTCTCAGAGAGGAGAGTAAATTAACCACGTGAGGCCTTTACCCTGGCCTTTTTCCCCCTCCCTATCTGGACTTTTTTTTTTTATGTAGATGGACAGCATGCCTTTATTTAATTTATTTATTTATATGAGGTGCCGAGGATCGAACCCAGTGCCTACACGTGCAAGGCAAGTGCTTTACCACTGAGCCCCAGCCCCAGCCACCTATCTGGGCTTTTGATCACAATTTTGAGCGCCTTTTCTCCAAGACCAAGTCGTCTCTTGGGTCTTGTCATCTCATTCCTACCTGCCCGCAGGTGTAGGCAGCCCATCACTATTGTGATGGGTCCTGTCTCAGTGCCTGGTGTCGGCCCTCTGCTTTCCCCTCAGCTGACGGACAGCTCTGGAAAGATGGAAAG